GGGGTCATATGATGCGATTTCAATTTTTCTTTCTCTTTACAAGCTCTTGGTGCATAAAGAAGATCTGTAAAGTTGTAAAGACTAAAGTCACAAATCCAAAGAGATATTCTTCATAAAAGTTAAGAGTCAGCCACGCTTACCTAAAACGGCTCATTCTAACACGCCCCCAAATATCTACGTCACGATGTGGGAAGATTTTCATAATGCCGCCCAAATGTTCACGCAAAGAAAGGCGGCGTAACTTTTATTCTCGCTGTAGTATTGATGCATGCTGCTGCCGCTGCCATATCGTGAAGACGCTGTGTGATTCGTTGTGAAAGCAAAACTACTTTGTTTGGTCTTCCAAAAGAGGAAGATATCCGCTTCGTCATGCTTGGAGCTGATCCGTGCTGGTTGCTGAGGAAATACAATCAACTTCGCGCTGTGGATCGCCGGATCGGCTTTCACCGTGGACGAAGCGAAGTCCAGCCCGGGGTCATCACATGTGCCGCAAGCCCACCAGAAGCTCCTCCGTCGAATCCGCCGGTCGCCGCTCACGCAAGGCCGCCGTGTGTGACGCTGTGTTTCCTTGTGAAAGCGAAACTACTTTGTTTGGTCTTCCAAAAGAGGACACAACTAGAAATCAGTGGTTAAGTTGTATTTATAACACTGTTCCAGAACACTTCAACCCAAATATTCAGATGTGTGCAGCACATTTTATGGAGGACTGTTTCCTGATCCTGGTAGACTACAATGCCGGCTGTTCTGACTCACAGATTGTAAGTACGTTTTTTTATATATAAAGAATTTGCCACTGACGATTCAAATGCGAGTTTTTAGAGTAGCTCTTGTTGTTTGTCGTTTCTCCGATCACAAATGCAGACATGGTTTTATGTTTACGTGGCACGATGCAACGCGTAAAAACACAGTATAAGTCATTATAATCCGTAATTATGTCCCCACTGGATGCAACAAATGCCTAGTTTATAATGGGTTTTATTGGTTTTGTCTCGTCGCTCCAGCCGGACGGCATCACAATATGGTAGAGGCATAACATTTCCTTCACATGCTTGAGGTATTCGGCCAATCACAACGCACTGGATAGCTGGCCAATCAGAGCACACCTCGCTTTTCAGAAAGGCGGGGCATAGAGAATCAAGAATGTACAGTATGTGGAAAATAATGTTTTTTTTAACCGCATAAACGCATTTCATTACACTAAATACACTAAATAATGTTCTTTTTAGCAACATCATATGACCCCTTTAAATGCAAGTTGGTTTTTAAAAAGCAGATCTTCAGAAATTTGACCTTTTCATGTTTTAATTTTACATTTCTTTAACAGAGAAACCTATTTCTAAGATTATTTCTGCAGAATCAAATGCTGTGTGTGTTACTTGGCTCATATGTTAACACATAAGCACTCTGAAAAGAAAAAAATGCCTGCTGCATTTAACGCTAGTTGTTTTAATAGGGTTCAAAATCCTACAGCCTATTTGTTCTTAAATGGTCTTTGAAAAGAGGTGCTTTATCTTAAAAAAAAAAGAAAAAGAAAAAGAAAGAGAGACCAACCTCAGGAGATCAAAACATTTTCTACTCTCTGACGTTTGCCAGTTTTTGGGTTTTGTCTAATTAGTTACAATTTGAGTAATACATTTTTAAAACATCATTCTTGCAACAACAAAAAAAATCTGTATTTTCATAACTAGGACAAATAAGTGTTATATTTTTTAAAACCAGCTGAACCACATCCAGCTCCTTTTTGTGACTTCCGTAACCGGCTTAGTGTCTTGACTGAATGAAGATATGCGCCTTTGAACATCTGCCTGAGATGGATAATAGTGTATTAAAGTTAGTGAACACATACATACATTCACATTATATATATATATATATATATATATAATATACATACACATTATATATATATATATATGCTAAATTACTAAATGTAAATATATATACACAGACACACATTTTATATGTATAATATATATCACACATACATATATATGCTAAATTACTAAATGTATATATATATATATATATATATTTACGTATAGTAATTTAGCAGATGTGTATATATAAAATGTGTATGTGTGTGTGTATATATATGTATATATGTATATATATTTACATTTAGAAATTTAGCAGATATATATGTATGTGTATATATATATATATATATATAAAATGCGTATGTGTGTGTATATATATGTATATATATAAATATATTTACATTTAGTAATTTAGCATATATATATATATAAAATGTGTGTGTGTGTATATATATATATATATATCTATGCTGAATTATTAAATGTATATATTGTGTGTGTATATATATATATATATATATATATATATATATGTGTATATATAAAATATTATTTTTTTTAATCTGGAGCAAATTGATTATTTCATAAATATGATATACGAAAGCACGTTAGACGTTTCCTTTCCTCGCGTCTTAGCTCCACCCCTTCAGGACGCGAGGGAAGACGCGAGGACGGAGGAGTTGAATCAAGAGAAATGATATACCCTCCCTTTAGCGTCACTTCAAAAACACCATCAGCTGCGCTAAAGGGATCTGCCCTTATGTTGTTAACGTTTGTCGTTTAAGACGTTCATAATAAATATTAATAAAGCAAGATGCCCTGTTTGAAATATATGACATGTATGGTTTATTTAAACGGCAAAGGTAAAATATAAATTAAAATTATTACAACATATGTGAAGGGGGAGGAGAATGTATACGTGCGTCAGGTTTTACGATGAAAGACACTTCCACAAAGGACACACCCGTGTATCTTCGCTCATAGCTCCTCAGGAAGCCTCCTCATCCTCGCCTCCTCGCGGCGCAATTAGAGCATTGAGATGTCCTGCATTTTCCAGATGCGTTCCATCGGCGCTGTGAGTGATTAGTCACATGACAAGTACAGCTCATCTGATTCGCTTAAAAAAAAACCCAGCACCTCCTCGATGTAATGTGCAGCAGCTGCCCCCTGGAGGACACCTGTAGAATAACACCAATGACGAGCAGCTGGAGCAGATGTTTTGAATGCCATTTCTATTAAAACTAGCAAGATGGTGAAGACAAAATGAAAAAAGGATGTGAAATTGCAAACATGGATAAGGCTGATTCTTTCATTGAGTCTTTTATTCACAAATGGCATCAACTCATTCTCACAAACCGCATCTTTGCCTTTCTCTTCTTTTAAATATTTTTTTATTTTACAATTTATGGAATAAATTTTAACTTGAAAATGAAACGGAAAATATCGTTTTTTGCATTTCAGGATGAAAGGCTTCCTCTTCTCAACTTCAAATGCATTCTTGTTAATAAATACCTTCCCCCTAAGCTTCAGAACCCTCAGAGCAGAATAATATGGATAGGTTATGGAGAAGAGGGGGAAAAAAACATCAAATTTTCCTTCTAATTATTTTACAAAAACAGATGAAGCAAAAGCAATACGTAAGGTTGAAAACCAGTAAGGCAGAAAACAAACAAAGAGGGAAAAGTTTAAATGGCAGCCCAGACGAACGGAGGAAAAGAAAACCTACTGGATGTTGCAGGAAGCGCCCTTTTCAACATAAAAAAAAAACAAGTCTGAATATTCACACGTGTTTCTAAGTCATGCCGATTTAAACATTCAAGTGCCATGAATAGGCTAAAGACAATTCAATTCAGCACACGTTTCAGACAGCGCACAAACACAGAATTGATTCCTCTTTCACATATCCTTGCGCTCGAATGGACACATGCCCTCAAAATTCTCTCAAAATAACCATCTCGGCAAGTATTCTCGTATGTCTAAAGCAAACGTAAACAGTGGAAAAAGAAATCGCATGTGCATCATTATATTGGATCCATGCATTTGGTCTTAAAGGGCCAGCAGCTTATAAATACCTGCTGTTCCATAAGCGCCACCTGCTGTCAGAGAGTGACATTTGCATCTCATTCAGCCCGTCTGACGCTTTTGTTTCATTCAGATTTTTTATGTAGTATAGTCACAAAGTCAGACCATTCTGTTCAAATTTCACCTTTGTTTGGGTCGTGATTAAAATGCAGTGGTTGCCTCTGATTTTTAATGGAAAGTGCACAGGCAAAGAGATTTCTTTTGTTTGTATTTATTAGATCTGTGATTTGCCTTAATTTCACGCTAGTTTTATTATTTGACATTTTTCAATTTCACAGAAATGTGCAGCATTTAGTCTGAGAAATAATAAAAGGACACATTTTCATTAACTTGTCTTAAATCTTATTTTGTGTAAAATGCCTTACACTATACAAAGTAATATTTTTAATAACACTGTAATAAAGATTCATATGATAAAAATGATTTACAATTATATAAATAAACACTTTTTAAACCATATTTATTATCATATGAATATTTATTATTATTATAAACACAGTATTATTAAAAAGGCCACATGGACATGGTAGCCCTCCAACATGAATTTTGTTCTTTTAATTTTAAAATGAATGATCAATTAATCATTCATGACAATCAATTAAGAACATTCCTGAAAATTGACATTTTAACTTGCTATGGTTACTATGGTCTTAATACAAACCCTGCTATTAAGCTACAACTTTTTACAAGAAGCATAACAATGTTGTTCTAATGGAATAGAGAGGGAAGAACCTTTTTTGAGGTGTACTTCTGCTTGGATGCGATGTTGCGGAGCTTGTGGTCCAGAGCCTGTCGGTTCTCCTGCTTCTTCACCCTGTAGATGCGCACCAGCCAGTGCTCGGAAGTGAACGCCTCCTCCAGGTGCTTCAGACGGATGTCCTTGTTGCCAATCTCTGCATTTCGTGTCCGGTCAAATCCAGGTGGTGTGCGGAAGTCCAGCTGTGGAGGAGGTGTTTGGCATTAAGCAAGCAGCAAGGCTTTATCTATATGTGCATTAATACAATATCAGAGTTGTAAAATGGTGACAGCTCAAGGATCAGCTCTTGTTTTCAACCAGTGTCACAACACAATTACGAGATTCTTGTATATGGACCTAATTAATTAAGCGAAGAAACACTCACTTGCATTTCGCCAAAGCGGTAGTAAGACATCTTGTACATCAGGCAGTTGAGCAGGGTTGGAGAGCCAGCCTTATCCACTCGAAACTCCCCCTGCGGTGTGAAGTAATCGCTTTCCTACGAAAGAACAAAACGATGGCAGTTTGAGGACTCGTTTCTCACATATGGAATAATAGAACACATCATCACTGCTATGAAATGATCCCTGTTAATTAAAAGCAAAGTTTGGGGAGAAAAAAAAAAAAAATCACCAAAACAAAAGCATGTAAATTATGTATAATAACAGGAATATTTTTCATGTGGGTGACCTGAAGCCAAACAACAGTAACTGTCCAAGACAGTGAATGTTATATGAAGCGCTGAATTAATTGCTGTAGCTGCGGTGCATTAAAAATGATTCATTTTGGACACACAATGTCTCAGAGTGTGTTTATGTGACAGTCTAACAGCATGCTAAAGCACAGAGCGCCATCAGCACACTAAAATCCTGTCAGAGAACTTCATTCCCTCTATAGGACTGCCACAATTGTTTATACCAGGTAAAAAAAAAAAATAATAATAATTATATATATATGGCCTGCACAATTGTGACAAAAATAAAAATTGTCGATTATCACAATTTACATTGAATGATGTTTATACCATTGTTTGAAGCAACTGCAAGCCATATTTTTATATGAAAATAAACGAGCTGAAAACACTCAAACTGAAATACTTTTATTGCTTTACTATAGTATTAAGCCTCAAATGTCAACTATACATGCATGGTTTTATATAAATAAAAACAATGGGAAAACCCTGTAGAAAAAACAAAAACTCAGAATAACATAAGTGGACTTTGAACAATTAATTGTCGCTTTGAACAAATATATATATATATATATATATATATATATATATTTTTAATTTTAAAATGAATGATCAATTAATCATTCATGACAATCAATTAAGAACATTCCTGAAAATTGACATTTTAACTTGCTATGGTTACTATGGTCTTAATACAAACCCTGCTATTAAGCTACAACTTTTTACAAGAAGCATAACAATGCTGTTCTAATGGAATAGAGAGGGAAGAACCTTTTTTGAGGTGTACTTCTGCTTGGATGCGATGTTGCGGAGCTTGTGGTCCAGAGCCTGTCGGTTCTCCTGCTTCTTCACCCTGTAGATGCGCACCAGCCAGTGCTCGGAGGTGAACGCCTCCTCCAGGTGCTTCAGACGGATGTCCTTGTTGCCAATCTCTGCATTTCGTGTCCGGTCAAATCCAGGTGGTGTGCGGAAGTCCAGCTGTGGAGGAGGTGTTTGGCATTAAGCAAGCAGCAAGGCTTTATCTATATGTGCATTAATACAATATCAGAGTTGTAAAATGGTGACAGCTCAAGGATCAGCTCTTGTTTTCAACCAGTCTCACAACACAATTACGAGATTCTTGTATATGGACCTAATTAATTAAGCGAAGAAACACTCACTTGCATTTCGCCAAAGCGGTAGTAAGACATCTTGTACATCAGGCAGTTGAGCAGGGTTGGAGAGCCAGCCTTATCCACTCGAAACTCCCCCTGCGGTGTGAAGTAATCGCTTTCCTACGAAAGAACAAAACGATGGCAGTTTGAGGACTCGTTTCTCACATATGGAATAATAGAACACATCATCACTGCTATGAAATGATCCCTGTTAATTAAAAGCAAAGTTTGGGGAGAAAAAAAAAAAAAATCACCAAAACAAAAGCATGTAAATTATGTATAATAACAGGAATATTTTTCATGTGGGTGACCTGAAGCCAAACAACAGTAACTGTCCAAGACAGTGAATGTTATATGAAGCGCTGAATTAATTGCTGTAGCTGCGGTGCATTAAAAATGATTCATTTTGGACACACAATGTCTCAGAGTGTGTTTATGTGACAGTCTAACAGCATGCTAAAGCACAGAGCGCCATCAGCACACTAAAATCCTGTCAGAGAACTTCATTCCCTCTATAGGACTGCCACAATTGTTTATACCAGGTAAAAAAAAAAAATAATAATAATTATATATATATGGCCTGCACAATTGTGACAAAAATAAAAATTGTCGATTATCACAATTTACATTGAATGATGTTTATACCATTGTTTGAAGCAACTGCAAGCCATATTTTTATATGAAAATAAACGAGCTGAAAACACTCAAACTGAAATACTTTTATTGCTTTACTATAGTATTAAGCCTCAAATGTCAACTATACATGCATGGTTTTATATAAATAAAAACAATGGGAAAACCCTGTAGAAAAAACAAAAACTCAGAATAACATAAGTGGACTTTGAACAATTAATTGTCGCTTTGAACAAATATATATATATATATATATATATATATATATATTTTTTTTTTACACTACCTCAAAATTAGACTGACAAATGTATAGATATATGTAAATATCTTATATAAATTAAATGACTTGGGGTCATTTTTTTGAAAGACAAAAAATATCAAAGTTCAATAAAGTTATAAAATAACGTAGTTATATAAATAAATAAATAGCTTGAACTAGTTGACCTCATTCTTTTTTTTTTTTGGACAACTACCCTAAAAACCTGCCCAAGCCTAAACTTTCCTTTATTATACAAATTCAATAACACGATAAATTCATTTACAGATATTTCTGGATTGACACTGACCCGGATATCTTTAGGGTGCTCCCCCTCAGCAATGCGCACCATCCACAGGAATTTGTTAATGTCGTCGCCTGAATATCCAATCACTCCCCCAAAAATGATCAGGACGTAATCCACATCCAAGGACTTCATAATCTCATAGGCTGCACTCTCATTGGAGGACATGGCTTTACCGACCTACAAAGGAAACAGAATATTGATCATGATCTTTCATTGTCCACAAGATGGCACTACTGAGCCAAAGCCTAATGCTGTTTTAGAAGGAGTCACCATTTATTCCTAAACAAACAGCAAATCAGACCCTATGGTAGTGTCTGAAGTCGAGTTTGCTGTCCTCACCAGTGCTATGTGGCTGTTATTCCACGTGTTGTTGTCCACCAGCGTGGTGCGGTTGGCCATTCCTGCGATCTGATACCCGTAGTCCCACCAGGACATGACTCGAGCATGTTCATCTGTATTCTGCCTGAGCCAGTAATACGCTTCACGGAAATCATCCAGAATGTTGCGTGATCTGGATGTAATTATAAATAAATGAAGAAAAATCAGTAACTCAGATATTCCTGCTTTTAAACAAGAAATAGGTCACGTGAAAGTGCTCTTACCCATCATGGTTGTATGACGCCAGCACTACGCTGGGACTGGAGTAGGCGTTGCTGGTGACCCACGTGCAGTGCACCGCAAACATCATCAAGAGCATCAGCATTAACATGGTAACGATGCTTTTAATGTTGGGGCCCAAACCCTCCTCTGGGCGGTCCTGTTCTGACACATGCTTTCGGACTTTGCCGGCCTGCAAATGCACAAGGACCAACCAATTAGATCAGACTGAATACAGATGAGATACAAACAAGCCATCCCCCAAATCACAATTCTGATACCATGCATGCATTACTGTACGGCAGGCTTAAAATGCAACGTTTTATCCACCAAAGGGTCCTTAGCCTGACCTTTGTCCTTTCGCTGACCTTATCATAGAGATTCCCCTGATTCCTCTTGTCGTCCTCATCACTGCTGTCCTCAGCCGGCGGGTTCTCACGCTTCATGTCATCACCCAGGTAGTGCTCAAACACACTGGAGAAGGCGATAGCTGAGAGCATGCACACCACTGGGGTGAGCGTCAGCATCAGACGCACCATCACACCAGCAAAGTACACCGCGCTGATGGCATACAGAGCCACTAGAGGGCAACAGAGAAAACATCACTTATGATTCCAGCAGTCAATGTGGCACTGCAGTACAGAATGAACGGTAATAAACTGCAGTGTAGTGTTTATAGCTCTGTACTGGATAATGACTCCAGATATAAATAAAAAAAAACACAGAAGTGGGCCTTTAAACATGTAGCAACATGTTGCCTGTTCACATTCCCTTGTTTGTTCCGCTGAAAGACTCCAGAAACTCCATGATAGCCATAAAAAAATAAATAAAATAAAAACTCTTCTGGGGACTGGGACTAATTCAATGCATTCTGTTCTCAACAAGTGAAAATACTCATAGCAGACATCAAAACAGCAGTGAGTGTTCTCAGGCATAAACAGGACATTCACTACAACTTAAAATTGTTCAGAATAAACAGCATGCTGGCAGAAATAAGCTCAAAGATGTTTAGTGCCACTTCTAGAGGATCAAAATTAAGATTTTAAAGAAAAGCAAGGGCCATTTCAACAATATACCCTGACAACATTTCATGCATTTTGAATTCAATGGATGAATATTTTTGGATGAATATTATGGATGAATACTTCTCATAAACTAAGGCTTAAAATGATTCTAATTAAAGATAATAAATTAATCTAATAAAACTAATTTTATTTACTTAAAAAGCTTTTGGGCATTCAAGTCACACCAATGTTTAAATGCCATTACATTAGAGATGGAAACATAAAATCAAACATCTGCAAACAAATAATGCTACATTTTTATCAGGACTTCACATTTCTAAGCCATTTTTGTAATGACTTTAAATAATGAATTGAACTGAATGAAGACACACTGTCTGGTAATTTCACGGATGTTAGACGTGCTCACCAAAGACTCGCTCATCGTTGATGTTCTTTATGCAGAACCAGAGGCCTGCTGGGAAGGTGCAGACCAGGATGTGCAGGTCAAAGAAGAAAGAGACCCAGGTGGTGGGCTGGTGCTCTGACACAGAGGCGATGATGGGGATGTGGATCTTCGCATATCTGAGCATAATAGGCAAATGGGCTGTGTCAACTTGCTGTGTAAAATGTTGCAAATAAAACTAACTAGCATTAAATTACCGCATTAACTACTGGCAAGCTACACTAACAACTACAGTCTAATACAACGCCTATAGCTATTTGGCTAGTACTTAACATGGATAAGCGAAAACTGCACGGTTGCTGAACAGGGGGTTGTTTGTTGAGGAGTTGTGCTGCTGTTCGCCCCCTCAATTTTGCTGCATTTCTGTGCTCAGTTTTGGCGACTATCAGTGTTGTGATCATTATCTGGTGACCTGACCTTGTATCTGTGGAGTGTGCACAGCGAGAGCTCGACAGGACTGTGGGTCTCCCTGCAGAGCTGCTGCATTGAGGGAGTTACACATTTATGAATTTATGATGGGCGACGTACATATTTGGACTCAGACGTATCACTGAGTCCAAAGAACATGAAGAAGCTGGCAAAAAGTCAAGGGTTCATGGCTGAGAGACGTACAAACACTGCTGTACCTGTAGGGCAGCCACAAAAATGTAATTAATTGAAATTACGATACAAGGCCTATCAGTAACAACAACATGTCCTGTTGAGTGTGTCTGATCCACAGCTGCATGATTTCTTTCACGTCTGTTCATGGTGGTGCTAGGGCTGCACGATTAACGGAAGA